ACATACATATATATATATATATATATATACATATATATATATATATACATATACATATATATACATACATATACATATATATACACATACACACACACACACACATATATATCGCTGCCGAGCATCTGGTGGCCGGGCCTTGGCACATGGGGCTCGAAAACCACAATGTCGGCCGCAAGAGGCAGACTGGCTCTATGTATGAGTAACATCACCTCTCTGATGGGGAAAGAACCAGAGCTGGTGCCGGAGGTGGAGCGGTACTAACTAGATATAGTTCATCTCCACGCATTGCACTGGTTCTGGAACCGAAAGGAACGGACGTCCTGATCTGAACCCAACTGGTGTTTTTTCTTGGACCTATGTGCTGCTCATGGATTGGTCATAACCAACACCTTGTTGGAGCAAAGGGCGGTTCATAAGTAAACTTGGTACCAGAACACCCTAGGCCAAAGATCTATGGTGGACTTTGTGGTCGTATCTTCAGATCTGCAACCGTATGTCTTGGACACTCTGGTGAAGAAGGAAGCAGAGCTTCTAACTGATCACCACCTGGTGGTGAGTTGGTGTGGGAGGCTGCTATACAGACCTGTTAGGACCAAGCATGTGGTGAGGGTGAACTGGGAACATCTGGCTGAAACCCCTGTCTAAGAAGTCTTCAACTCAGACCTCTGGAAAAATTTTATTTTATGCATCTCGAGGGAGGTTGAGGACATGGAATCAGTCTGAGCCATGTTCAGAGCCTCTGCTAGGAGCTGTGGTCAAAAGGTCATCGGTGCCTTTCAAGGCTTTAACCTAAGAACCTGCTGGTGGAGACCAAACACGTTTCCAGTGCGTGTTGGCCTTCACCAGGGCTTTCCCTTGTCACCAATACTGATTGTGGTTTTCATGGACAGGATTTCAAGGCCTAGCTGGGGGGAGGACAGTGTCCGGTTTGGGGACATCTTTGAGCAGATGAAGTGGTTCTATTGTCTCCTTCAGAACGTGACCTTCAGCAGCACCGGGGGGGTTTGGAGCCGAATGTGAAGTGGTCGGGATGAGAGTCAGTACCACCAAGTCCTCTGGGTTGGGAGTGAGTCACTGCTCCAAGAGAGGGAGTTCAAGTATTTCGGGTACCGCCCTTTAGAGGTTTCCCGGGTACATCTAACTGGTAAGTGTCTCGGGGTAGACCCAGAACACACTGGGCCTGGGAACACCACGGGGTTCCCCAGGAGGAGGTGGAATACATTGCTGGACAGCGTTGATTTTGGTGAAAACAGTTATGAAGCCTCATCTTGGTGTGAGCTACAGAGACAATTTAAACTAGACTATTCTATAAGCATGCAAAAAGAAAAAAAAAAAAAACAGGATTAAGATCATCGGAGTGCCCCGACACTGACAATTCTTTGGTTGATGCAATTCGCTTGTTTCTGTCGTCCATTTTATTTGAATTCTTTAAATGTTTTTGTATCGTTTGATATTTGTGTTATGTGGTGTGCTGACCTCTATCTCGAGCCGGCTAGTTAGACCCTGTAACTGTATTTTGACGTGATTACATTACTAATAACTGACTTACGTTTGCTCTGTTCTTTCTGGTTCCTCTGTAACTAAATGTGCTTATTTATGACTTTAACTTGTCTGGTGTCCTTTGAGTCGGGCTGTAACAGATAGAAAATCTTAATGGGATTATCCCGGCAAAATAAAGGTTAAATAAAAAATGAAAATAAAAGAAATTGTTACTGTGATATTCTGCATCACCAACTGAATTCATATAGGTTCCTACAGTCACACAGTTTGTGCTTTGTTTGGTGGCATTTCTAATGTAATTATGATATACATAATGATATTCCTCTGGCCCCGTTCCTCGTACGTGGTTCAACTAAGTCGATCAAATGTCCTATTAGCAGCTTAAATTAACCCGATGATTGAAGTCAGGCTATCTCGGTTTCTCCAAGGCTGATCCTCTCAAACACTCTCGTTAATTGGAACCAGACGATCAGGATCAGGATAATTGCGCGTGCCCGTCCTACTTCAAAAGGGGGAAGCGTCGATCACCGAAACCATGATTTTCTAACAGTACAATGTTAAATAAAGTCAAAGAAAGAGCCTCTTTTTACTCCGCTGACGAGCAGGAGATGATCATGAACGCATATGAGGAATTCAAGACCGTAATCACGGCTAAATCTTACACCGCCACCGCTGTGAGGGCTAGACAAGAAGCACGCAAAATATCACAGACAAGTTAAATGCGTAAGTGTTGTAAATGTATCGGCTCATTTTAATGCCCCATCACCCCAATCAATCAGATTATGTGTCTTTAAATGAGCTGCTGGCAGTAGGCTTAATGAACGCATCATCCAATGAGATCTATAGCGACAATGATCTCAACTCTTTCAGAATAAGATAAAAACAAGCCCAAAGAGTATCTAACTGATACTCATTAATATGAGGATATAGGTACTGTATGCCCTCATGTATCATGTACTATATATGTGTATATACATGTATGTATCGCCAACACTATACAACACTGTACCACTCGCAGAACAGCTCAAGGCTGCATCCAGTCTGTGAGACATCAATGCTCGGCTGCAGCGTGTGGTGTTCAATGTATGGCTCCAGAAGGTCTGTAAATAAATGATTCCTTGTGGGCAGAATGGATAGCGCTCGTATAGGAAGTCATCATGATGTGATAACGGATCTTGGCGATGTGGAAGAACTCTCTCCCTATAAAACGCTAATCTAACTAATATCCTCCATCAGTGGATCTCTGAGGAAGGGAGCTGTACATTAATGCAATAGAGGCTTCTTAGTTTGCTCAGCTGCTTTTAATGGATCACCGTGTGTCTCACTTTACATGCATTTCCGGAGCTCGCGTATAACCCCCGGTATATGCGCAAGCGCATTAGACTACCGTATATGATTGGAGCTGCCATGTTTTCCGGGGGAGTGGCAGCTTATCCAGCTACCTTCAGTTAGCCTGCGCTGGAGCAGCTTCAAGCTTATGGATGTGTTGCCATGGTGATTTTGCCAAACTTGCTTCGTGGAACCAAAAAGCCTGATTTATGTAATCTTATCCTGAAAATGATCCGGCTAACTCAGTTAGCCACGTACGAGGAACGGGGCCCTGGTCAGAGTCTGTGTTGCTCACGGATTAAATATCGACTGTAGAGTGACGCTCGGGTCTGAAGTTCAGTTACTGTGGTGATCTAGCCAGGTTAAAAGACTTTGAAAACTAACACACTTCTGACCAAACATCAGAATTTGAGGAGTTGGGAGTGAGAAGGGTTAGGGTACACCATTCTGGTCTTTACTGGAGTATTTACAGAAGAGCTCAGGTAGAACAATTATAGAAAAGGAGTGAAGGTTTGTGATTGAAAAAAAGGAAGAAAAGCTTCTCTCTTAATCAAGTCAGCCAAAGAAACAAGTAACAAAATGTCTGATAAGACATACTTTGATTTAGCACAGGACTTCCACTCTAAAGGGGAGCTGGAGGACAGCCAGCAGAAGGAAGGAAAGGGGAGTAAAGAGGAGGAAGAGGAGGATTCACCTGTTGAGTGCAGTGGTGGGGAGACGAAACAACTGGCTTTTATCCCCGGGGAAGTTTCCGGACCAATTCCTTTTCATGATCGACAAGAACAAAAAGTTATTTCCTCCACCGAGCAAGAACATTGAAAAGAGGAAAAAATGGGGAGAAGAAAAAGAAGAACGTGGGCTCGAAGAACAAGCAAAGGAGGAAGATGAAGGAAGCGAGCAAAGGACAGGAGGCTGGCCTGTTTCCTTGTGGCAGTGTACCAGCTAAAGACTTCAATATCTGCTTCTTCACTTATCAGTGATCTTAGTTTATGATACCACTGATGCATCATCACAAGGTCACAATATCCAAAGAAAAAAAAAAAAGGGCCTTTATTAAATGTTGCAAATTAGAGATTAATCTGTCAATTCAATTTAGTTTAGTTTGTATAAAGTCTGATAAAACTGTCAAAGTAGTCCAATACAATGCCTTGTTTGTTTGACCAACAGATAGTTTACTGGAATATAAAAGAGTCCCGACACAGAACATATTGAAGTTAGTCTTCATGGTTTACCTCTGTGCAAAGAGCAGCAGGCCTTTTAATATAGTTTGAACTGTATCTGAGGACATTTATTTTCTAACTTCCTCCCTGTTTACCTCTCGTCTCACACAATGGTGGAATATATTGTTGGGTTAAGTCTTTTTCAATACCAAGACATTTATTCTTCAGCTGGCAAGAACACCAAAGAAGAAGAGCTCAGACAAACTTCATCCTGCTGAGCTGCATTTACAAGAACTGGACCTCCAACCTGGCAGGACGACCGCCCGGTTACCACAAACTGTGCTTCTCTTGACGAACCAGAACCAAACATATGAGCGATAACTCAAAGGCAAAGTGCAGGTGGGACGACTCTATGACACTTTTACCAGAAATCTGACGTTTACAAAGATGGCTGTCGGTGGTTGGAGTAAGGACAAAGTGACAGCTGGTGGAGCAGAACCCAAACAGTCTTTACTTATCAGACTTTAGGAAACGGTCTCGTGTGTGTTTTGAAGTGGACCTCTGGGACAATGGACCGAGTCTTTCTCAGAGGGTAAGAGTTGTCTTGTTAGAAGAAAATCCAGAAAGAACGTAGGCAGACCAAAATGAATTGACTGGAAACTGGTTGTAGAAAACAGAAGAAAGGCCAAAAGGAATAAAAAGGGACAGACTCCCAGAAAGGAGGATGGGCAAATAAACAAAGACTCAGGTTTAAAGACGCCGGATAAAATAAATTCCTGTTAGTTGTCTAGAGGTTAGTGTTGCAGAGAAAAATTAACCGAAGAAGCAGCCTCAGTAGGATCCATGAAAACCTCTGTGAAGTCTCAGTGTCACCTTGTGATTCTGATTCAGTCAGACGTCAGAGGGACAGAGCAGCCTTAAAGTGGAGGTTCAACATGTTACTCAAGGACACTCCAGCAGGAGGGGAGCGGTGAACTTCAGCTGAAGGACAGTCTTTCTACTAACTGCACCTCACTGTCAAAGTCCTGGTTTAGTTTGGTCTCTGCAACTTTCTAACACAAATTAGATCTTTAAAGGTTCTCTATTTAACATCCAGATCATCAATATCTGATCAATAACTATCGTCTATAAACATGTAGAGGAGTATTAAACATCCAAATCATCAATATCTGATCAATAACTATCGTCTATAAACATGTAGAGGAGTATTAAACATCCAGATCATCAATATCTGATCAATAACTATCGTCTATAAAACATGTAGAGGAGTAAAGTCGACCTGATCAGAGAATGTAGTCTCTCTGTGTTTGTTGTAAGAGCTCCACCTCTCAGTGCTCACATAGTCTTTTAGTGCACATGAGCGTGTCTTTTAGTGCACATGAGTGTGTCTTTTAGTGCATGTGAGCTTGCCTTTTAGTGCATGCCAGCGTGCTTTTTAGTGCACATTAGTGCATGGGAGCGTACCTTTTAGTGCACATGAGCATGCCTTTCAGTGCACATTAGTGCATGTGAGCTTGCCTTTTAGTGCATGTGAGCGTGCTTTTTAGTGCATGTTAGTGGACATGAGCATGCCTTTTAGTGCACGTTAGTGCCTTTTAGTGCAGGTTAGTGCATGGGAGCTTACCTTTTAGTGCACTTTAGTGCATGTGAGCGTGCCTTTTAGTGCATGTGAGCATGCCCCACTGGTTAGCTCATTGCTCTGCTCTCATAAGGAGGTTACAGCTGATAATGTTACTTATTAGCACTGTTAGCTGCTTGCTGCTGGCTTAGCCGTCGCCATGTTGAGAGCTGTGTGGAGGCAATAGATATGCTCTGAATTTCGTATTGACCACTTTAAAAGTGAACCTGGTTAAATAAAGATGATATACAAAAAACAGGGTTTCTGCAGATTCTAATAAAACAAATTTAAGACACAAATTAAGACTTTAAGTTACCTGGACATTTATTTAATAATTATCGAAAAAGGTCAGTGAATGAGTCTTAAGAATAATCCAATTTATAGGTCGACTTGCTTCCTGAGATCTCAACATGTTTCAGAAAGTGATGTTGGACGTTAAATGTGAGGAGTCATTTTGGGAACTAAAAAGTCCACAATAAGACATCCTGTTATCTAATTCTTTGATTAGATGTGTTCCTCTGTAAATCACAATTTTCCCCATTTAAGGTGGGGTTCTCACACATAAATACAGAGAGGACGACTTCAGGTGAGTGAAAGAACACAATGACGCTTCATTGAAGATCAATGTTCTCACACTTCTGTCTTCATCTAATCGACTTGTGTTTTTGTCCTTTTCAACCATCTGAGGCGTCACAAAGGCTTCAGAAAGGTTTTCAGAGCAGAGCAGACTCAAACAAGATGCTTTGGAAATGACAAACAGGCATGCCCATGGACAGCCACGTCTCCACGGAGACAGACGGGTGGGGGGAGGGGGGAAGGACAGTACCTTCTCCAGCTGGGGTCAGGAGGCGGGGACAAGTAGGCGGAGTTATACGGCGAACTGTCCACCTGAGGAGACCATTGGTTAAGGAACAACAAGACAAATTATCCTTTCTCATTCTACTTCAACTTCCTACATGTAGTTTTTAACTCACGTGTCAAACTCAAGGCCCGCGATGTGTATGTGGCCCGCGAATCCGCCAGCAAAAAAAAAAAAAATTTGTATTTTATTTTTAATTTTGGAAAAGAAATGAAAAGTTAGACTTGAAAATAAAAGTATCCCCATAGTCGAAATTGTGAGATAGCATGTTGTCTGTGTACTGACATTAAAACTATCACAACAGGTGGACAGGAGAGGCAACAACCCAGAAAGAGGTTTTCCAACAAGTGATTGAGTTGAAAAAGATCGACAAATAATCCCAAAATGTCCACGAAGAGAAAAATTGATGCAGAGGGAAGAAAATGTAATGAAAGATGTGAAAGCAAATACATGTCTGTGCTTCAAGGAGAACAAACGGTCTGTCTTCTGTGTTATGATGCGTGTCGGTGATGAAGGATACAATGTACGTCGGCATTTTGACACCAAACACGGAGCTAAATTTAGCCTCCAAGAAAAACATCAAATTGTCCAAGAATTAAAAGGCAGACTGCAATCACAGCAGAATATATTTACAAAAGCTACAGCCCAGTGCATGCTAAAGGTCTGTGAGCAGGTGAGCTCCGATCAGATACAGACTTTTACAAATGTCAGTTTGTGAAGAAACACCATCGCAGACCGAGTTCAGGAACTAGCAGCAATCTAACAACACAGCTAGCTAAGAGATGAGCAGGTACTCGTCTTCTTCATTAGCTGTTGATGAAAGCACAGACAACACGGATACAGCTCATCTATCCATGTTTATAAGACCTGATCTCAGTGAGGAGCTCTTGGATGTAGCTGCCATGCAAGGGACGACGACGGGGACATTAGTGATGCAGAGAGGTGACAAAAATAGCTTTGAACAAAGTTAATGTAATAACTTGTTTGATGATATTTGTCTTCGTTATTTTCTTTAAAAGTTTAATAGTTTGATAGTGTAATGTGGATTTCTTAACCCTAAATTAAAAGGCTTTATGTTATAATAACAGAAATGTGCTTACATATATTTTTACATTTATATAACTGCATGTACAATATTTTTACACTTGAATAAACAATACTCAAATGCAGAGAAAGTTACAGAAGTGTAAAGTAAGCAGCAGAGAGTACTCTGGGTGTTGTACTCTGGCCGCTCTGAACATCTCCTCACACAGAGAATACTCTCTGTCTCAACAAGTATCCTGATATCTTGTATTGCTCTGTCTATATAGCTCCATTAGAACACATCAGTGAGCATCAGTGTTGTTCCTTCATCACCATCATCACACTGTAGTTTATTTTGACTCAATCTGTGGATTCATCCATCACTGAAAATAGTAGTCACTACTTCCTCCTGTTTATTGATCAAAACTACAGAGATTACTGATTAAACTACATGTGTGTGTCTTTAGTAGGAACCAATGGGCTTAGAACTGAGAGACACAGACAGGAAGACAGACAGGTTTGAGAGACAAACATGTTGGTTAGAAAAAAAAAATATGAAATAACTTCAGCCTTAAACTTTTTGTAGGTTTAGATCTGACAGTAGACTAAAGGATACTTGTAGGTTTAGATCTGACAGTAGACTGAAGGATACTTGTAGGTTTAGATCTGACAGTAGACTGAAGGATACTTCTAGGTTTAGATCTGACAGTAGACTGAAGGATACTTGTAGGTTTAGATCTGACAGTAGACTAAAGGATACTTGTCGGTTGCGGTACGGTCGGACTGGTGAGATGAACCGGCGGTCCCTCTGGACTCGCTCCACTAGGCCGTGATGCCGAGTGGACCGGTTGGACTCCAGAGTGGAGGGGAAGGAGCCCTAAATGAAAGAGAAACAGAGATCAAATTGGGATTTTGTTTTAATGTGTGCATTTATTCAACAACTCTAATGTCCCTCACTGGAATATAAAACAGCAACATAGAGAAAGAGAGAAACAACAAACAATTCTCTTATCAGAGCTCCACTGGTTTTAACAAATCTATTTCCAGGACATTTTAAGAGAACTCCTGTTGGTTCTATTGCAAGTCCATCATAAAACCATTTACTATGTCCGACTTTCATTTGATTCTTAAAATAATGATCTGGGTTTTTTACAGGTGTAAAACAGAACTGCTGCTCACACAACTTATATCTTACTAACTAACCCTAACTAATCTGAACCCTAACTAGCCATAACCCTCTTGAGGAACAAGTTGTAGCAGTCAGAAACACAGAAGATGTATAAAAACTACAGAAACACAGAACGGATGGTTCCAGTCACCTGGAAGTCTTGAGGGCTCCGGCCGATCTGGTTCACGTTGGGCAGAGAGCCGCCGTAGTAGAGACCCTGAGTCCTGGAGAGACGGAGCTTCTGGGCCTGAAGCTGAAGAGAAGAACAAGAACATGACGACAACAACACAACGACAACAACACAACCAATCAACTCTTTACCAAGTTAAACACGAACAAACCATCAGCAAGAACTCAAGACATACACTATACGTAAATTACATGAGTATATAATAACAATATTGTACTCGTTAGGGGTGGGAATCCCCAGAGGTCCCACGATATGATTTTATCACGATATTTAAGTCACGATACGATATTATTGCGATTTAAAACATTTTGCGATATGCGGAGTATTGCGATAACATATATTCCGATGGAATTGTCAAGCAGACAGACTGACCAACACTGTCATAAAAACCTGTCATAAATGTTGCACCTGACAACCTGAACTGTTTGTATTACAGTATACATAGTCCAACTTAACTGAATGCAAACATGTGTGTACTGCTGTACTATTACAGGTATTTTGAACAATGCAACTTGCAAAATAAATGCAGCACAACAATGGGGGATTGCCGACAAAAACCTGGTGGTTGTAACCGACAACTCTTCTAACGTGGGCGTTGCCGTTCAATTAGCGGAATTCCTGCATGTGAAGTGTTTCGCTCACACGCTCAATCTGGCTTCACAACTGGGGTTAAATCTGCCAACAGTAGCCAGGCTCATGGGGAGAGAGCGGCGCATAACTGGCTTGTTCAACAGAAGCACGGTGGCAAAACATCCGCGTTTAAATGTGGAAATGCGGACGGCACATTTCTGATTTCTTTCTCCGATGTCTCCATCTTTGTTTTAACCAACTTCCTACCAATCACGCTGACCCAGGACCTCTGCTGACCTCACCAAAAAAAACACTCAGCACCATCTAGTGGACTGAAAAAGCAATTGATTATATTATTCTAGTATCAAAAAGTTTTGTATTTGTATTTGCAATATTAATAACTTATATAATAAAAGATCGATACTTGGCTTACGTGTATCGATACAATATTGTCACGCAAAATATCACGATACTATGCTGTATCGATTCCCCCCCAGTACTCGTATTGTCCACGGCAGTAATTTAATACCCCGAATCAGATTCTGATTATTAAAAAATATAATCAACAAAACTAACTGCTGACCTCTGACCTTCTTTCACAACATATGAAGTAACGGTCTGTCTGGTACCACACACTTAACCGAGTTAGTTATTGTTAAAGAGGTAAGTTAACGATAACTAACTTAACCGAGTTAGTTATTGTTAAAGAGGTAAGTTAACAATAACTAACTTAACCGAGTTAGTTATTGTTAAGGAGGTAAATTAATAGTAACTAACTCTAAGTTACCCTGAGAGAAGTGATGGACTTTAAGAACTCTTTTAACTCTTTAATATGAATCTCACTTGATGGCCGAATCTCTCAGAACATCATTATCAGTTAAACATGTTAGCTTAAGTTATTCTTGTTAAATAAATCTGTAGAAATCATCGTGCAAAGTAGTAACAACACACTAAACTCCTCGATGTGTGAACGGAGTTCGGCTGGACGTGACAGCGACGTTCACGTAAACAACGTAACATAGTAAACAACCGAACCTTCGCAGCTAACGCGTGCTAACTTACGCTAACAACGTAACGGACAAAAACATATCGAACAGAAGCAGACACTTCTCCGAGTTACGTTGTTCTGCACTAACAAAAGTTAGTGAGCAGACAGACAGACCCTGCAGACAGACAGACAGACAGACAGACACACACACACGCACGCACGCACGCACACACACACACACACGCACACACACACACACAGACAGACAGACAGACAGCCCCCCCACCCCACAAGGCCTCTCTTCCTCCTGTCTCACCCTGGTGGAGGTGATGTCCATCATGACCTCCTGGAAGGCCGCCGTCTCCTCGGCCTGTCTCTGCGTGTGAAGCGCGATCTTCTCACTAAACTTCCGAGGGTTTGAAGACCCGGACCCGGAGCCCGAGGCGGGTCCTGGTCCACAGCCTCCTGTCGCAGACATCTTCACGGAGCGGACCGGACGACGTGACGTAGTGGAACGATTCACCAGAGAGAAGAAGGAAAGAGAAGAGGTCTCACTCTGGTGGTGCTTCTTCTTCTGCTATATTATAATGTATGATATAAGATAGATTTATATATATATATATATATATATATATATATATATATATAT